GCATATATTCCTTCTGCATAGCCTAGCTCGCTGAAAGTCAATGGCTCATTCAAAGTTATCCACTTTTTTACTCTCTCTCCAAATTCCTTGAAGCAAAGCTCTGCATAGTCTTGGAAATCTTTCCTGTGTTAAAATATGTGTGGTTTTTTTAGAAATGTTCATTCAAGTGAAAATGTTAGTTAAATTGCAAAACTTACACAATGCGAGGACTTATGAAGCCACCGTATCATCTTCTAAAGCTTGTGGAAGATCCCAATGGAAAAGTGTCACAAATGGTTCTAACCTAAAATTATTTTAATATATATGATGATTATAGTATTAAGGTGTCATCATCTAACATGAGAAGGTGTTAATGTGTAAAGCATAATAATAATATTCACAATAAAGTTTTATTCTGACCATTTGCCAGTAGCTCATTGATAAGGTTGTTGTAATAGTCAATTCCTTCTTGGTTTATACCTCCACTCAGTTTTCCATCTGTAAATATGCAGTTTATGGAAATAAATATGTCAAGTAAATTTAAATGAGGGTAATTGTGAAAGTGCAAAAGATACGAGTGCTTTTTAGTAATAATTATCAAGTTCATTATTAGTATTTTGGTAATAGTTTTAAGACTAGAAGTTCATTAATAATATTTTGATAGTAGTTGTGTATTAATTGTATTTTGGTATAGTTGTATTTATTGTATTTTGGTATAGTTGTATTTATTGTATTTTGGTATAGTTGTATTTATTGCAAGTGGTTGAAGGATTAAGACTACTAGTACTATTTCTAACGTGTGGTTGAAAGACAAGACTAAGGACCTACTAAAATATATCACAGCTAGCAAATCATAATATTGAAAGTATTTTCATAAAGAATTGCTGTAAACAAAATAAACAATTAAAATAAAGACCCAAATAGGTAAAATTTAATCGAGATTGTCTTACTCGGAAGAATTCTTGACCAAGATATAGAAATTCTGTGAGCATCCAAATTCATATTCTTCATAATCTGAACATCTTCCTGCAATATAAGTACAACATATCTTCATCTTTAATGGAATCCAAAAGATACCAACGTTTGTTTTAATTTTTTTTTTTGTTTAACATTTCTTTTCCAAGGGTCTAATCAGTCCTTATAATTAATAAATAATGAATTAATTTGGTTATAATGTTCCAAAGATATTAATCCGAAGTTTGATATAAGCATGTTACCTGTGGTAATCATTAATAGAAGTGTACCAATGATCGTGATAAGAAATTTAGAACTTTACTTTGTTTCATACTGTACTGTGCAAATATCTGATAAGCTTTCTTAGTGATGACTGTTGATAAATCACATCCAAAGAAACAAAAGCTTTGAATCGGCAATATAAACCTTGTAGCGATGATAAGAATCAACTGAAACATCTCCATTGCTTCTGTCCTCTATCTTTTCTGCATGTTAATTACCATACATAAAAAATTGTATAAATTTTGGGAAAGATCTTCGGTGAAACAAGCAGAAAATCAGACATATATAATATATTTACCAGGATATTTGTGAGTGAAGGTATCCCAAATGCTTGGTCCTCTACCACCCTCATTGGCTGCACCTTCATACTGCATACATACAAAATCATGTGAACCGAAAACCATAAAATAAAGCTGATAGAAAGAACTAAAACATTTGAACTTGTAACATGGAAGGTGTTTCATACGGGGTTGAACATTGATAAAACATCATTATTGTTGCATGAATGTACCTGGTACGCTGAGGATGATGTACCGAAGATGAAGCCTGTTGGGAAACTGTTTCGATTCAACAAATCTATTTGTGGAGTAAGGGCTACGCTTTCTGTGACAGCAATGAATGAAGAAAGTAGAGCAATGAGAGGTAGCAGAACATATTCTTTGTATGCCATATTTGCTTATTTGTATGTAAGTTTTTCTCACTTTATAGAGGAAAAGCTTCATCTACTCTGACATTTTATCTGCAAATATCAAATACTTCTTGCTATTTAGAAAATTAATCAGACAGCGATTTTGAGGTATGATGGCCCAGGTCATTGGTCATTGGTCATTCGTTGTTTGAAGTAACCCTTCTATTTATTGCAACAGCTCACGTGCTGATTCCTCGCCCTCTAAAGCTACTTTTACAAACTTTTAAACTATAATAATTTTTATGGTGTATTGATACCACACGTATCTCATTAATTTTATAAATAACAATTTTGCTACTAATAATTAAATTCATTTTAACGAATAGCATTTTATAATATGATTTAAACTCGTTATTTCTGATAATAATTTTTTTGAACTTAATAATTTTATTTTATTACACCAACACACTCCAATTTCTACTGTTATCTCATCACTTAGAAAGACTAACTTCAGTGGCAAAGTGATCACGTTGTGAAACTAATCAAAAACACCTCTCATGGGATTCCATCTATTGTCGGTAATATCCTTTCCTTTGGATACAACGTAGAGACAAATAAAATAAAAAAATACTTATTAAATCAAAATTAAAATTTTGATAATTCATAATAGAATTTGACAATTAATTTTTTATTTTTGCTTTTATATAAAAAGATATTACGGAATAATTCTCTCAAAATATATATAGAGAGAGAAATATATGTAATTAATTTAGCCATCTGAGGAGGAAAACAACAGAAATTAGTTTTGTTGATTAACACTGGTTGAGTATTTATTATTTTGATCAGGAATTTGGTCTTACCTTAATCGATTTTCGTGACTGTTTGTTCAATCGTTATCAGTGAGACATGTTTGATTAAGAATGTGGTCCAATAGTCACTTTCATACTGGTTGTAAATTCATTATTTTGATTAGGAATTTGGTCCTACCTTTATGGATTTCCGTGACTGTTTGTTCAATCGTTATCCGTAGGACATGTTTGGTTAAGAATGTGGTCCAATATTCAGTTTCCTGGATTTCATAAGACTTGTCAACTAAAGAAAAGAAAATTCCTCAACTTTGAAATGAAATTTATTTATAATATAAATAAACAATTATTAGAGAAAATTATGTTTCAAAAACCATGTAATATTGATGCAAAATAAAAATAATATAAATAGAAGAAAAAATAGTTTAAAGAATTCATAAAAAAGGTGGCAATGGACGGTATCGTTATTGAGGAAGTAATATGTTATCGGTTAGAACGGTTGGGAAATATTTGTTTTTGGCGACTGTTTCTTAAAGGTTTTGGGTTCAGCAAAACTGAGGAACGAAGAGGTGACCTGAACTTCTTGACAAATTGGCATTCACTCATAGTTTGCAAAAAGCACACCACCGCCCACCTTTTACTTCGTTATCCACCCACGCTATATATACGTGTGAAATAATATCTAAAATTGCATACTTATCATCGTGTGTATATATATATATATATGCACTCTTAATATTTTTTTATTTCTTTCGTTACACAATTTTTTCACTTTATTCTTATTGTTTGACTAATTTTATATCTATAAAATGCACACATATCTAGGTATTTTTTTCTAATCTTTTATATAATTTTTTTCTGTAATATGTATAAATTGTGTATTATCAATTTTAGTGATTTAAATAATTTTTAAGTTCTATTTCTATGTATATACTAAGTAAATCAACTATTTCTTAATTTTTATCTTGTTTTATCCTCAAACTTTGTGTGTTTTGTATTTTAATTGTTTTATGCTTATTTTTATCTTTAATCTCTTTGTTTAAGTGTGTACAATAAATAAATAGAGAGTAATTTTAGTGAATAAAAAGCAAAATAGAATGCAAGAGAGTGTGTTTTGGATAAGAAAAGATCAATTTAAAGCAAATACATGCGTTGGAGCCACTAGGATCACCTCAGTGCTTCAATTACAAAGTGTTTTCAGACTACATAACATTAAGCACCACATTTGTAAGTTTGAGCGTCACCTCGCCCCTACACAAGTACATAAAGCCTTTTTCACATTTTAAATTATGACGCTCAACAGTGTTGAGATGATGCTCAACAATGGTGTCATTGACATGTCAAAATTGAGTATTTATTCATGTTTTTCTCAAGATTTTTGGCATTCTTTTCCTCCCACACTTTCTCTCCACCTTGAAAGATCATGATAGGCCCTTGGAGGTTATTTAGGATGTTGGGAAGCTCTCTCATTTTCTCATTGGGGTTTCAATCTTCATTTATGGTGGTTTCCCCCTTTCACGGTTGATGAAGGAGGAGATCTATGAATGGGAAATAGAATGCAAATACAGCTTGGAGTAGTTGCTTCATCTTCTTTCTAGTTCTAATTTCTTTCCTATCTCTTCTATTTGTAAATCATGGGTTCTCCACCACAGAGAGGTAAGTCTATTATCAAGATTAAATGTAATAAAATGAATCTTGTATATTTTGTGATGTTAATACATATATTTTTCCATTTCAATATTAGTATTTGATTTATATGCTTAATGATTTATTTGGTTTGCCAATCATATAATTAATGTTGATAAACTTGGTGTAGAAAATATTTAATGTTAGAACAAAAAGCTTTAATTAAAATAAAATTATATAATTCTGAATTTATCATGGTAATCATTAAAATTAAAGACGAAAACATACCTCAGTTTAAAATTATAAGAACGATCCGTTCTGTTTTTACGGATAATGGGATGTCACAAGAATTTAAAAAAGAAGGAATGCAATGTGATATGGAGAGATAACATATTTAGTGACATATGAAACTTGGAAGTATAAATATAATTACCTTTAATTGCAATACATTAAAGCTATATGATAACCATTTCAAATATCACTTTTAACTAGACATATAAATAACACTAGATGTATTTATAACTTATTCTTTAACTCCAACTTTCAAATAGCATTAGACCTTTTTTTTATAATACTAAACAACAACACCCACAATTAATAGTAAAACACGAGACAATGTCTTACCATTATTTTCATTTCTCAGGATAAACCAATGTAATTACAAAAGAAATGTCCACACTAAAAAAAAATAAAAGGTGTATAGTAAGATTCATAATCTTATTGTTTAAGTTCTATTATCTTTGTAACACATCATGCACGCATAATTTATTGCCATTGAGGCATTGAATTCGACAATACATTTATAAGAAAATACAATTTCATAAGAAACTACCCAAGAATAAAACAATCCTAGCAATTGGGTATTTACAATATATAATTGTGAAAGAATTTTGATAGTACTTGAATTATATGGAATCATGAAGTTTGGTTTCTATGTTGAGAAAATCCTTGAACCACAAGGCCGAAAGCTTTGAGTATCTTTTTAGACCGTTCTTGTAATCAACAAAATTCATTCCAAATCGCATGATGTAGCCTGAATCCCATTCAAAATTGTCTAAGAGAGACCACGCGAAATATCCTTTTACATTTACACCTTTTCTGTAATATACAAAAAAAAAACTGAAATTAAATGTATGCAAACAAAATAATCTTTTTTAATGCATTAAAAATAGCACTTACTTGATTGCATCAAGAAGATAATAAAAATGACGGTAATGGTAGTCAACTCTGTAAATATCCAAGAGAGATTCTTCAAGTGATAATGAGTGATCATCATATTCACTTACACCTACATAAAAATATAAACCATGCCATATTTTCAATACGTGTAGAAAATAAAATACCATATAGACAAGTCGATAATAATATTTTTTTAACATTTTCTCGTCATATTTGTTTGTAACTTTTTTTAACAAATTCAAATGGAAATACATGTGAGCGTAAAAGTTATTTACCATTTTCAGTAATATAAATTAAGGGATTGTTGTATTTCTCTTTAGTGTATAGTAAAACTTCACGAAATCCTTTTGGATAAACGTACAACCAATCCGACACAACCTGCATAATCACGAAACATAAATATCTTTATTAAGAAAACACTTTCTAAATTTTAACGCATATATAATTTGGTCACAAGAACATTACATTTTCACCAATGAGTTTTCCGTCACGCACAACTGCAATAAAAAAACAAAAAATTATGTAATTACCTATAAAAATCAGATTCAACATATATATATATATATATATAT